GCTGTGCTACATACGGCTACTTCAGTGTCTGTATCATCCACTGCTCCTGCTCGTTTTGAGGGTCATGTAATGGGGTGCTGTGAAATTATTCACAAGCCATTTTCACTATAGTGGCTCATCCACCACTTCACACATTGTATATATCCTACATAGGTCACTAGTCCTGTGGAGATGATTTGTTTCAATCTTAAGCATTGAGTGCTCTCCCACTGCACTGCTGTGTGTGCTTAACTAAATGTGCTGAATATCATGCTCCTGTGTTTGCTGCTTACTGCTGTAAATATCACTGCTGGTGCTCACACTGAGGATGAAAGCAGAGTAGACAATAAGATAGGAAGGTTTCACATAAGGGTGAAATGACTATGTCAGGTCTTAAGGGGGAAGTCGTTGCATTTCCTGATGTATTACAAAAACATTGTGGGATATTGATTTCCTGGTTTTATTGCAGTAGTAGATGGAGTTGTTGACGGATTGATCTCTCCGTTATTGCTTTTTGGTGGTTTTAAATTAAGCTTTTCCAGGAGCCAAAATAACCTTATTATTCATCCTTCTTTACTAAATGTCTTATTCAGTATGTGGTATAAAATGATATTTAAAAAGACGAAAAGTAGAAGACCAGGTCTACGAACACTGCTCACATCTCTCTCTATATCAGATTACATAAAATGATAAAAGGTAAACATGCACAGTCTGGGAGAGCAAGAAATACAATTAATTGTTTTTACTGGTATGATTGTGTGCAGACTTAAAGTGAAGCAATGACCTAGCATCATTATATCATCAACTCTTTATGGTCTGGTACGAATGACAAATCCATCAATTAATTTTTAGCACATTTTGTCAAAAGAACTGAAAAATCATGTGCAGACTTTAGTAGGTTGCTGATCCCATCCACTCTTTCATGGCATTAAGGTGAGTATATCTGGGGCACTGCTTGATGGCATTTCTGGACACACCCACACCACACATTCACATTAAAATATAAAATAGTTTTTGTTACATTCCAAAAAATGTCTTCCATATCAGTATTCAGTCCAGAAGGTTCCTAAATGAGACATCTGCGCAGCCTGATATTGAAGGGTTGAGGATGACAGACACAGATAATAGTCAGGGAGCTGAAGGGGGGGGGAGGAATAAACACACCCGTCCCCAAGAGTGGCTTCAGATTTTTCATTAAAAGAGGCACACACTTGTTGAGCCTTACATAAACTGCACAGACAGTGTATCATTTTAGGCTCAGCATGGGGGAATATAAAATACACTTTGCATTGACACCCAGCACAGGAGAGCTTATAACATAAGGTACTGTAGATATTGAGTTTTAGTGAAACTAGGCAGGCTCTCTCTCACAAACACACAAGCACCAACCCGATGCTCTGTCGATTTAATCCTCACATCTGGTCAGTTTCAGACTGAGAAGAGATTAACCTGCTGCTTTTACTGCCTCATTGGCTCACACGGACCATTGAACATACACACACACTCATACACACACACACACACACACACACAC